CAAGGCTTCCAAAAAGCGCTCGCCAAAAAGAGAAAAAAAAAAAAAGGGAAAAACGCGCGACCTCCTCCGTCCTCAGGCACCGGTCTCAGGCACCCGCCCCCAGGTCTCGCAGGGAGAAACGCGGGATATTCTTTGTCCTCCGGCGCCGTTCCCAGGCACCTCCTCACCGGTCCCGCCACCCTGCCTCCCCAGCAACGGGGGCCCGTCCCTCTAAGGCTTCCAAAAAGCGCTCGCCAAAAAAAAAAAAAGCTCCGGTTTCTCTCCACCCGCCGGGAGCCGGGGGGAGGGGCGCTCGGGTCCCGCCGGGCTGGGGCTTGTATCTTACCCCCTTCACAAGGCGCTGGGTTCTTGCAGGTGTGGATGTGGTCTGGATGTTGTCCTGTGTCCTGTGGTCTCTATTTTAGGAAGATTTTTCTTTGTTATATTTTCATAGCTCTATGTGTTTTTGGGAGGAGATTTCCACTGCTCTACTCACGCCGCCATCTTGGCTCTGCCTGGTTATCCAGATTTTTATTTTTCCTTGGTGAAATTGTTTTCTGGGTTGCTCCACCTGCTCCTATGGTCTATCCTTTTGCCTAACGTTTTGAATATTGTTTGTCTAAAAGAGGAAAAGTATATATGGAAAAGAGATGTGCAGTCCTGGATGTCTAAGGGCATCACAAACCTACTATTGCTCAGTTTCTGGTGGCTGAACATGACTTGTCCCTCTAAGAGTTGGGGATGCCAACTGCTCAGGTATGATATAACTAGTTAGCATGCTGGAATGTCATTTGTTCTCAGAATTAACCATATAAATTACTCCATCAACCGAGGCCTGGTAAGTCTGTCCTACAACTAACTCTCAAGGCTTTGGAATTCAGAATGTATCCTCAGACCAGTATCCTTTGGTTAAACTTTGCCACAGGTCACCATTTCAAGCCTTTATAAGGACTTCTTCCTCAGTTTTGTCTACGTTACCGTGAACTGCTTTGTTTCATTTCTCCTGCCCAGAATCAGGACATTTTTCTCTGGCCCCTGATAAAAGGCATTTGGACTTTGGCCAAGTTCTGGAGATACAGGATTGCACAGCAACATCCTTATGAATCCTTGTTTCAACTAAAACTGGGCCAAATATTTGCTTCCTTCATGTTTTCTCACAACTGTACTAACTTATACCCTTATCTCTGACATAATTTCACTAGGGACAATTTAGAAGTGCAGTGGCCATTTTTGAGAACTTGGATGAGAACAAGATTGTTTATTTGAGAGGTATCTCAGAACAAGGAAGGAAAAAACAAACCCTCATGAAAATATTGTCTTGTTTGTAAAAGAGATTATTTGTTTTGTAAAAGAGATTGTCACCTATCAGTGACAGATCACTGATAAGTGATACTTCAGTTCCATACTATGAAGGGTAAAAAATACTTTTAATTGGGTAGCTCTGTTAACTTGTCACTTGCGTAAGTTATTTTTTAAATTGGCTAAAATGTCATTCTTTTTGTGTGTGTATGTATATGTAAAAATCTGTTTTTCTATGTTTAAAATGTTTTCCTTCTCCCTGCTGAATGAACATGGATTTTAGCCTTTTAGAGTGGTAGTTTCATATTTGTCTAAAGTAGCTCATTCTCCACACTTTTGATGTTCATTTTTCTCTCTTGGAAAAATTTAAAAATTACTCTGTTGAATGTGTGCACACTAGTCCAGTCAAACAGTTAAAAATATCTAAAAGAATTAACTATGTATGTTTCCTATGTGGGCACTAAAAAGTATATTTCTGTAATAGGATTTGTTATTACAGTTATAAGATAAGAAAAGGCCTTAGTTCCAAGATAACAGGAGAGTTTTTGGCAGTGTCTTTAAATTTTAATTTGCCATGTAAAACCAATGCTAGAACAGTATTTTGGCTTATCCAAGATCAGAGTTAGTTTTCTCATGATTTAAGACTTCTTAAATTTTTTTTTTTGGTGGGGGTTTTTTATTTTTAAGGTATCTTTGATATACACTCTTATGAAGGTTTCACAAGAAAAACAATGTGATTATTACATTCACCCTTATTATCGAGTCCCCTCCATATCCCATTACAGTCACTGTCCATCAGTGTAGTAAGGCACCACAGAGTCCCTACTTCTCTGTGCTACACTGTCTTCCCTGTGACCCCACACACACCATGCGCACTAATCATGACACCCCACAATCCCCTTCTCCCTCCCTCCTCACCCGCCCTCCCCGACCCCTCCACTTTGGTAACCGCTAGGCCCTTTTTGGAGTCCGTGAGTCTGCTGCTGTTTTGTTCCTTCAGTTTTGCTTCATCGTTATACTCCACAAATGAGAAAAATCATTTGGTACTTGTCTTTCTCTGCCTGGCTTATTTCACTGAGCATAACACCCTCTAGCTCCATCCATGTTATTGCAAATGGTAGGATTTGTTTCTTTCTTATGTCTGAATACTATTCCATTGTCTATATGTACCACCTCTTCTTTATCCATTCATCTACTGATGGACACTTAGGTTACTTCCATATCTGTAAATAATGTTGCAATAAACATAGGGGTGCATATGTCTTTTTGAATCTGAGAAGTTGTTTTCTTTGGGTAAATTTCTAGGTGTGAAATTCTTGGGTCAAATGGTATTTCTATTTTTAGTTTTTTGAGGAATGTCCATATTGCTTTCCACAATGGTTGAACTAGCTTACATTCCCACCAGCAGTGTAGGAGGGTTCCCCTTTCTCCGCATCCTTGCCAACATTTGTTGTTCCTAGTCTCCTCTATGTTGACCATCCTAACTGGTGTGAGGTGATGTCTCATTGAGGTTTTAATTTGCATTTCCCTGATAATTAGTGATGTGGAGCATCTTTTCACATGCCTGTTGGCCATCTGAATTTCTCCTTTGGAGAAGTGTCTGTTCATATCCTCTGCCCATTTTTTAATAGGGTTATTTACCTTTAGGGTGTTGAGGTGTATGAGTTCTTTATATATTTTGGATGTTAGCCCTTCGTCTGATATGTCATTTACAAATATACTATCCCATACTGTAGGATGCCTTTTTGTTCTGCTGATGGTGTCCTTTGCTGTACAGAAGCTTTTTAGCTTGATGTAGTCCCATGTGTTTATTTTTGCTTTTCTTTCCCTTGCCCAAGGAAATGCTTTCAGGAAACAGTTGCTCATGTTTATATTCAAGGGATTTTTGCCTATGTTTTCTTCTGAGAGTCTTCATGACTTACATTCAGGTCTTTGATCCATTTTGAGGTTACTTTTGTGTACGGGGTTAGACAATAATCCAGTTTCATTCTCTTACATGTAGCTGTCCAGTTTTGCCAGCACCAGCTGTTGAAGAGGCTGTCATTTCCCCATTGTATATCCATGCCTCCTTTATTGTATATTAATTGACCATATATGCCTGGGTTTATATCTGGGCTCTCTATTCTGTTCCACTGGTCTATGAGTCTGTTCTTGTGCCAGCAACAAATTGTCTTGATTACTGTGGCTTTGTAGTAGAGCTTGAAGTCGGGGAGCATAAGCCCCCACTTTATTCTTCCTTCTCAGGATTGCTTTGGCTATTCAGGGTCTTTTGTGGTTCCATATGAATTTTAGAACTATTTGTTCTAGTTTGTTGAATAATGCTGTTGGTATTTTGATAGGGATTGCCTTGAATCTGTAGAGTGCTTTTGGCAGGATGGCCATTTTGACAATATTAATTCTTCCTATCCATGAGCATGGGATGTGTTTCCATTTATTGGTATCTTCTTTAACTTCTCTCATGGGTGTCTTGTAGTTTTCAGAGCATAGGTCTTTAACTTCCTTGGTTAGGTTTATTCCTAGGTATTTTATTCTTTTTGATGCAATTGTGAATGGAATTGTTTTCCTGATTTCTCTTTCTGCTAGTTCATCGTTAGTGTATAGGAATGCAACAGATTTCTGTGTATTAAATTTTGTATCCTGCAACTTTGCTGAATTCAGATATTAGTTCTAGTAGTTTTGGAGTGGACTCTTTAGTGTTTTTTATGTACAATATCATGTCATCTGCAAACAGGGACAGTTTAACTTCTTCCTTGCCAATCTGGATGCCTTTTATTTCTTTGTGTTGTCTGAATGCCATGGCAAGGACCTCCAGAACTAAGTTGAATAAAAGTGGGGAGAGTGGACATCCTTGTAGTATTCCTGATCTTAAAGGAAAAGCTTTCAGCTTCTTGCTATTAAGTATGATGATGGCTGTGGGTTTGTTGTATATGGCCTTTATTATGTTGAGGTAGTTGCCCCATATACCTATTTTGTTGAGAGTTTTTATCATGAATGGATGTTGAATTTTGTTGAATGCTTTTTCAGCATCTGTGGAGATAATCATGTGGGTTTTGTCCTTCTTTTTGTTGATGTGGTGGATAATATTGATGGATTTTTGTATGTTGTACCATCCTTGCATCCCTGGAATAAATCCTACTTGATCATGATTGTAATGATTGAATGCAGAGGAAGAGAGGAGAATCCCACTGTCTTCTACTAAGCCCAACACTCAAGAAATCTGCAAAAATGTAAAGCAATGCCACTGTTCTGACTAAACCATGTTTGTTTTAGGAAGCACTTTTTCCCCAAAGTGTATTGTTTATGTTACATGCAATTATTAGTATTATTATTTTTAAATGATTTAATAGCTATTTAAAAAATCATCAGTTTAAATTTACAATATAAGTATAGAATACAGAAAAGCCCTTTGAAAACCCCAATAACTTTTAAGAGTTTTTAAGAAAACTTTTATAAAAATCTTTTTAAAGGGCCCCCTGAGACCAAGAAATTTTGGAACTACTAATCTTCTCTCCTGGGAGTTTCCTATAAACTCATTTGTGTTAAGAAGGATTCTGAGGCTTCATCAGTGCTTAGGCGATCATTGGTCATGCCAACCACCTTTACAATGTGGCCCTTCTCCCTTGCTCTGGGGAAGACTGGCTAATGTCAGGTGGAGTGAGGGACAGGGCCAGCAAGCGTGACCACCGAGCTCATGGCTGACTCACCACCCCTTCCTGAGCAGCTCCTGGCTGATGAGGACCAGCTGGCCCGAGGCATCATGGGTCTTCCGGGACACAGCCTCTAGGTCTGCCTCCACATGCTGCTTCTCCTTCTACAGGGTGTCCACCTTCTTCTCTCCTGACTTACACTTGCTCACCAGTGCTGAGGGTCAGCCAGCAGGGAAAGCAGAGAGAGGGCAGAATGTTCATGGGATTCTGTCCCACCAGAGGGCCAAACCTGGGCAGGGGGCCTGTTGTCCCAGGGGGGTCACAGTGACACACTCCACGGAGTGCATCTCTCTCGTCCTGCAGAACCAGGCAGCCAGAGGCCAAGGGAAGAGCTACAAAAGCAGACCTGAGTCCCCCAGCACAGCAGCCCAGGCCCTCGGGGGCAGGGGAGGCAGTCCACCCTGCCTGAGACGGGACCGGCACCTACACTGCTCCTGGACAAGGAAAAACTAAATCTTCACCTTCACCTCCGAGGAGTTTGAGGCCAACTACCTTTGTCAAGACCAATCATGCCATGTGAACGTGATGGGAACTGGAGAAAAGTGGGGGTGGGAACCGGTTCCCAGGATGGGGGTCGTCTCATGGACACCAGCACTGGCATTCTGGCAGACAAGAAGCAGGGCCAGTTTGTCACAAAGTCCCAAGTTCCAGAACCCCGCCCTTCCCCAGGCTCCCCCTCTGTCCTCATCCCCCCTGTGTCTTGCTCTCTGCTGCTCTGAGCATCCGTCCCTCCAGTTCTGAAATCCTGGTATTTCTTCTAGGGGCTGGGGACTGATACACTATCAAAGTGACCTAGAGAACCCAAAACATCTTCAAGACCAAACAGAACTGGTGACAGAATTTCAGAGCAGAGGGAACACAGAGCTGGCTCTGGGGAAAGAAGCTGGCTCAGGGCCCTGATTATATGATGGACGTATATGGGTTCCTGCTCCCCAGTCATTGCAGCCCAGGTGAAGTCCAGGGCAGCTGTACTGGCCCAGGTCACCTTCTCCTCAAGGCAGCATGGAAAGGGTGCCCTTACCCAGGTGTCAGCACACCCCACACCTGACTGCCACATGGCCCCAGTGAAAGCCCCTCATCTGCCCTGTGCAAGGGAGACCTACCACTTATTTGGGCCCTGAGCATCTTGGTCTGGGACATCAAGGCTGTCACCTCTTTGTCCCTCTTGGTCAGCTTGTCCTGAAGGCCTGGAGAAAGGAGAGACAAAGGGCCATCAGTGTTCTAGGTTAGTGGGCGAGGGGATGACCTGCAGGAACCCTAAAACGGAGCTACACATGGGCTCATTGGTCCAAATTCTTTCTCACACTAGTCCTCTCTGGGTAACCCACTCTGAACAAAAGGCTGCAATACAAACAAAAGTCTTGGGCAACTTAAGAGTGTCAGTTTCCTTAAGTGGGAAGTTACGAAAATAAAAATGGTGCTCATGCATGTATAATTAGCATGTGGGGGGGGCATGGGGAGGGCTGTGCAGCACGGTGAAGACAAGTAGTGATTCTACAGCATCTTGCTGCACTGATGGACAGTGACTGTGGTGGGGTGTGGGGGGGGACTTGGTGAGGGGGGGAGCCTAGTAAACATAATGTTCTTCATGTAATTGTAGATTAATGATAACAACAACAAAAAGATGTTAAACAAACAAAAAACCAAACCAAAACAAAAAATGGTGCTCATGTCACAAAGTCTTGTGTATTAAGTACTGACAGTCTCCGAACAGTCATAAAAAAGATAATGCATGGACAGTGCTGGAAATATACTTTCCACAAGTTAACCTACCAATATAACATAATGCCAACAAGATTTTAATTTTTGTGGAACTAGATAAGCTGATTGTAAAATCACATGAAAAAATAAGCAAGAAGAAACGAGAGCTGGGCAAAAACTTCAAAAAGTTAAACATAGAATTACCATGTGACCTAGCAATTTCACCCCTGGGTATACACCCCAAAGAACACCAAAGAGGCATTTGACAAGTACCTGTACATGCACGCTAAAAACATGCATGTTTTCAGCAGCCAAAGATGTGGAAACAGCTCAGATGTCATCCATAGGTGGATGGATAAACAAACTGTGGCGTGTGCATGCGATCAACTATTACTTAGCTCTAAACAGGAATGACACACTGACACTGCTACACCATGAAGGAACCTTCACTATATTAGGCTAAGAAAAAGAAGCCACACAGAAAAAGCCACCTATTACATGATGCTCTTTATATGAAAATGTGTAGAATGAACAAATCCATAGAAACAGAAAGCGACATGGTTGTCAGTGGCTGGTGGGGGGAGGGGAGAGTGGGAAGTGACTGAAAATGGGTATGGGGTTTCCTTTTGGGGAGATGAAAATGTTTTGGCACTAGATAGTGGTGGTGGCTGCACAACACTGTGAATATGCCAAATGTCACCAAATTTTTCACTTTAAAATGGTTAATTTTATGTTACGTTAATTTCAGCCCAATGCAAAAAAAAAAAATGTCCAAGAGAATTTTGAAAAAGCAGAGCAGGAAAGACTAGCTCTGCCAGTGATTAAAATATAAACAAAGGTTGAATAATTGAAACATTACAGAACTGGTGCATGAACAGACAAGTCACTAAAATGGACTAGAAAGCTCAGAAGTAAGAGTCAATTATGCAAGGGAATTAAAGATGGTAGGTCAATAATTCAAATCAGTGGAGAGGGGGAAATGAGTTTTTCAAAAATGGTAGTGGTATACTTTTGGAAAAAAATATAAATATACTCTCAGGAAAAAAACACCTTATAGAAGGATGAATTCAAGATGGAGCAGAGATTTTAAGCATAGAAAATGAAACTACAAAAGTACTAGAAGAAACTATGGGCTACATTTAAAAATAATAAACCCAGAAGCCAAAAAAGATTGTGTTTTCAAAATCTGCATGATAAAAACCACCACAAGAAATGTCAGAAGCAAAAAAATAAAAAGACAAAAAATTGGGAAAAATGTTTGCAATGTCATATATAAAGAATTTCTAAAAACCAACAAAAAGATCAAGAAAAAATGGGCAAAGGATACAGGTAGAAATGGAAATAGAGCTTCATTCACAATAAAAGGGCAAGCTGAAGCTACTCTGGGTAACATCTTTTACTGTTCATATTGGCAAAAATCACAAAGTTTGATGAAATATTTTGTTGTTAATTTACCAAAGCAGTGTTTGTCATAGCCAAAGACTGGAAACAATCTTTGATCCAATCAGTAGGAAACTGGCCAAATCCATGATTGTAGCTCCAAACTGGAATATTCTGCACCATGTGAAAGAATGTAGTGATAAAGAACAGTCTCCAAGATACATTATTAAATGGAAAAAAAATAAGGGGCCAAACAGTGTGGGAGGTGTGGTACCTCTGTTACCTGTGTGCTTGTATGTGCATAAACCATCTCTGATAAGTTGGCTAACAGTATGTGTTTAGAGAGGAAATTTGGGCAAGAGACAATCCTTTGCTATAAGCCCTTTGAACCATTTGAAGTTCATACCTACTTAAAAAATAAAGTTAAAACCAAGTAAGTGGAGCCAAGATGGTAGTGTGAGTAGGGCAGCAGAAATCTCCTCCCAAAACCTATATATATTTTTGAAAATACAATAAATACAACCATTCCTAAAAGAGAGACTAGTGGATACAGTACAACAGCCAGGCTACATCTACATCTGCGAGAACTCAGCGTCTCACGAAGGGGGTAAGATACAAACTGTGGCCCAGCAGAACCCGAGCGCTCCCCCCACCCCAGCTCCCCAGTAGGAGGAAAGGAGTTGGAGTGGGGAGGGAATGAAAGCCCAGGACTGCTAAATACCCAGCCCTAGTAATCCACACCAGGAGTGCAGACACACACTGCATGGTTAGAGAAACGGAAAGGCAAAATCTGTGAGTGGGTCCTCTCAACTGGCTCCCCATGGACAAAACGAAAGCAAGTACTTTTTGAAAGTCTTAAAGGGACAGGGGCCTAACAGCCGGATGGAAGCATCCCGGTACATTCAGCCCAGCAGGCAGGGAATCCTGAGGAACACCAGGTGCCCCAGCCCCATGGGTGGCAACGCAGCCCTGAAGCCCCTCACGGCAATAAGCAGCCTGCCAGTCATTCCCCCAGCTGGTGCGGCCCCCAACACAGTGGCCCAGTAGCGAGAGAGTGGCCACGCATACCCGAATTGGCTATGGAGCAGACCGGGAGCGCCGCACGAGCCTGCGGTGGCGGCAGAGCAGCCTGGGAGTGTCTGTGCATGCCTGCGGCAGCAATGGAAAAACCTGGGAGCAGCTGCGCCCCCAGCAGCTGCCTGGAATCTCCTCTCAGCGAACAGCCACCCGGGCCAGACCCAAAGGCTGCCACCGGTGTGCAGCTGCCCAGCGCAGGCAGAAGAAACTGGGGCAAGGTGCAAAGGGGTGCTGTTCTTGCAGGAGAGCACACCTGGTGCACCTGCCACTCCCTGCAGGGCTCTGAGCTACACTGATGGCGACCCTGCCTACATCACCTTAGGGGATTAATCTGGAGGCTGCTCCAGGAGTGCGGGTAACCAACACAGGCAGCAGAGAAGGGCAAGGTGACAAGCAAACAGGAAAGGACTTTGTTCTCCCAGCTGACACATGCACTACCTACATACAGCTACCTCTATCACCATGAAAAGGCAGAAGACTTTGGTCCAGTCCAGAATTACCCAGACAACCCCCGAGAGACAGCCTGGGGAGATAGATTTAACAAATCTTCCTGAAAAAAAAATTCAAAATAAAGGTCATAACCATGCTGATGGATGTGCAGAGAAATATGCAAGAGTTAAAGGAGCAAGTAGGGAGGGAGAATACAGAAATAAAACAATCTGGAAGGACTTAAGAGCAGATTGGATGAGGTGCAAGAGGCCATTAATGGAATAGAAATCAGAGAACAGTAATACAGAGAAGGTGAGGCAGAGAGAGAGAAAAGGATGTCCAGGAATGAAAGAATATTAAGAGAACTGTCTGACCAATCGAAATGGAACAATATTCACATTATAGGAGTACCAGAAGAAGAAGAGAGAGAAAAAGGGATAGAAAGTGTCTTTGAAGAAATAATTACTGAAAAATTCCCCAAACTGGGGGAGGAAAGGGACCCAAGGAGGACAACACCAATACATATAATTGAAATGGCAAAGATCAAAGACAAGCACAGAGTATTAAAGGCAGCCAGAGAGAGAAAAAACATCACCTACAAAGGAAAACCCATCAGGCTATAACCAGAATTCTCAACAGAAACCTTACAGGCCAGAAGAGAATGGCATGATATATTTAATGCAATGAAACAGAAGGGCCTTGAACCAGGAATGCTATATCCAGCACAATTATCATTTAAATATGAAGGAGGGATTAAACAATTCCCAGATAAATGAAGCTTGAGGGAATTTGCCTCCCACAAACCACTTCTACAGGATATTTTAAAGGGACTGCTCTAGATGGAAGCACTCCTAAGGTTAAACAGATGTCACCAGAGAAAACTAAATCACACCAAAGAAAGCAGACCAACCACATACTAAGTAAAGACAAAAAATAAAATCAACTACTCACAAAAGCAGTCAAAGGAAACACAAAAGAGTACAGAACAAAACACCTAAGATATAAAGAATGGAGGAGGAGGAATAAGAAAGAAGAGAAATAAAGAACCATCAGACTGTGTTTATAAAAGCTTCATAAGAGAGTTAAGTTAGGCAGTTAGATAGTAAAGAAGCTACCCTTGAACCTTTGGTAACCACAAATCTAAAGCCTGCAAGGGTAATAAGTACATATCTTCCAATAATCACCCTAAATGTAAATGGACTGAATGCATCAATCAAAAGACACAGAGTAACAGAGTGGATAAAAATGCAAGACCCATCTATATGCTGCTCACAAGAGACTCACCTCAAACCCAAAGATATGCACAGACTAAAAGTCAAGGGATGAAAAAAGATATTCCATGCAAACAACAGGGAGAAAAAAGCAGGTGTTGCAGTACTAGATTCAGACAAAATAGACTTCAAAACAAAGAAAGGAACAAGAGACAAAGAAGGACATTACATAATGATAAAGGGCTCAGTCCAACAAGAGGATATAACCATTATAAATATATATATGCACCCAACACAGGAGCACCAGCATATGTGAAACAAATACTAACAGAACTAAAGGAAGAAATAGAATGCAATGCATTCATTTTAGGAGACTTCAACACACCATT